ATCAAGAGTAAAACCGACTTTTGGCGAAGCGCATTGTTAAAGCTTTCTTTTTTTTTTTTCGCTGATAATTAAACTCGCAGCCACAATTGCATGAGGATTGCAAAGCTTCTGGGAGGGAGAGTTCATTAACGCAACGATTTTGCAATTTTCATCAGCTGATTTGCATACTGTAACGTGATATTTACATGACATTTGTAATGAAATTTAATAACTCACATGTAGAAATGTATGCACAAATAATTTTAAGATAAATATATATATATATATAGTGTGTGTGTGTGTGTGTGTGTGTGTGTGTGTGTGTGTGTGTGTGTGTGTGTGTGTGTGTGTGTGTGTGTGTGTATGTAGAGATATACATATTATCTAAGGATATTAAATTTTAATTACTTGAAGACAGAAAGAGATATAATGTTCTCTAACGCCATAATGTTCTAAAAAATTTTCATGAATTACAAAATAAAACAAAGTTGCAGAATGAAATAAAATTACTCATTTTGACTATAAAAAGTAAAGAATCTTTTATTATAAAGTTTTTTATGAAATAATTTATTATCAATTTTTATTACATTATAATTAAAAAAAATTAAATGTCTTATCAAATCGCTTTATAATTTCTTTGGTACTTAGTGCTCATTAATATTTCACAAATCCGATGAATTCAATAACGGCACAAGTTCATTTTAGCTCAGATATTTATCAGTCTCATTATTTACGTATTAAGAGTGGCCTTTTTTATTTAAGGATGGCTTTTTTGCCATTGACATTTGTTATTTAATGCAATTCTGCCAATAGAAAGTTTATAATTCTTTTGTTTAATCGTCTTGTATTTAAAAGACATCTGCGAGCCTCTTTAATAAAAACTTCAATAATACAAACAGGCTTCATTACGAAGTTCTTGCGTTTCCTTCGGCTTTGCCATTCTACTCGATAATGGGAATTTGCTAGGACAGATCGAACAGCTCGAATTGCAGAGTTGACGAGAATCGACAGCAAAGCAGCACGTCCCATGAAGCCTACATTCTTTATATGCGTCTGGCATATGAAGAAGCGTCTGGTTCGACGATAATCGATTGTCGTGACGATCTGACGTGACAATTTCATTTCTTCTTTCACACAAAATAGCAGACTCACATCGTCACTTATGGAAGATATTCGAGAAGATTTAATATAAAATTATTTCGACGAGGGAGATTTTCCACTTTAAAATGTAGTCTCCGGAATACATCTAAAATTAGAAGATTGACGGGAAAAATGATAGCCTCTCGAATCTGAAGCGAAATCTAATCAGAGTCCCAAAGGCGCTGTAAATATACACTTTTCAAAGTGTATATTCTTCTCTGGCTAAATTACTGATTTCCGTATATAATTTTCATATACTTTGATTTGGATATTGCGAATAACGTGAATCATGTGAATACATCTAATTTCGGGATCGTGTAATTATAGAGAACGCTTAACACAACAGTGTCTGCCCGTTCCCCCATGCCTGTTGTATAACATACTATATAATCACCTTAGACAGTCTAATCAGTTTGATAGCTGCTTGATCGTTGGAATACATCGGTATTGTGATACGACCGATCGATCTATTTAATATTCAGGAGGACTACCAACAATTGTAGACGTATTATAATTGACATCATCTTTAGCCTTACAATATTCATGTCAGCTTATAAGGTTCATATCATTGTACAATGTAATCTTGATCTATCAAATTCAGTTTATCACATTTCTACATGAAAATTAAATAGAGAAGATGTTGCTACATTGCCTTTATAAATTGACTCGTAAAAATTATTTGTCGTTACTTTATTGTTGATTCTGTTTCAAGGCCAAGCCACAGATGCGTTTATGATTATTAATAGACTGTCAATAATCGATGTCAATAAATTAACATTGTTCTTACCGTGGAAAATTTTTATGACGAATGAAATTGAATAACAACTTTGTAATTAAAATATTGCAATGACATATTCGTATTAATTATTGGTCTTTTATATTTGCTGGAAAAATTTTAATTTTGACGTTAAAAAAAGAAATCTGATAGGATTTAAAACAAATTGTTTAAATATTTGTCAAAATACTCCACGATAAATTTTCATTTGTTTATTCTGATATTTAAAATAGCCATTAATGTGCAATTGCAGGACTCAAAAGCAATGAATCTGTGAAAATTGAGAAAAGAATGAAGTTGATTTTGCTTCAATTTAAGCAAAAAATGCAATTAGCAAACTTTAATAGATTATGTATATTTTTAATTAAATTTATAAACAAATCTATTTTTTTTTTTTACTAAATATTAATTCTCGCAGCTCATTTTGCGTATTTTTTTACTCTATCTACAGTATTTGTACATGATACGACCAAAATGGAGCATGGTTATTAGTGTACAATCAATATATCCACAAAACAAGCCATCGAAAGGACGCGGTGCCGTATAATGAAATATTACGTAAGCCATTTCGCATCATATCGCGCTATAAAAGGACGTTTCAATATCGTCGTTCAGGGCTTCACCCGTTCGCCTCAAGTTTAACTTGCACTCGACTTTTAAACAAGAACGAATCCAGTCATGCGCGTGGGTGAAACTATTGAAAGTGCCTTGAGATTCGAATATATGAAAGTCTCTCGACAAGATCGAATTCCACCGTCAGTCTCGCGAAACTTTTAGCCCGTGACGCGTCATTTCCGGCTTTGCGAGGACCATTTGTGTCAGAGTTACCAAACTTCTTCTCACTTATTCCCTCCTCTTTCACGGTCGGAAAATCATGGCCCGTCTGGGTCATGGCGCGTATTGTTGCATCGACATTAAAATATCTTACGACGCGTAGCTTTTTGGGAAACTTTTTATTTGTATCCCCGTCGTATTTCCCTAGCGGCAAACCGGTGATCGGTGACAGAATACAAGGGGATGTTTATATATTGCAATCAGAGAGCTGACATAAAATTGTGAACATGAAAGGACCACTTTTTATAAAAGGACCACTTTTTATAAAAGGACCACTTTTAAAGATTATTTTCTTATTAGGGAAATAAGTATTTCAATATAGCGCACTACTTACAATTAATTCAGTAAAATTAATAAAATAAAAAAAATACACTCTTTTTATGTAAAAGTTAATTCGTGATTAAATTTTAGTTAGATCTTTTGCGATCTCTTAATTATTCTTTTTCAAATATCATTTTGTAAAAAGGTATCGTAATTATTAGGCATGTTCAATTTCTACAAATGTACAGATTTGTATTGCAATCTAAAAGATACTTCTATTTATAAATTTTATTTATTTCTATTTATAAATTTTATATTAAATTTATATTTTTATATTTTATTTTATTTATATTATGTATTTATATGTATATATTTTGACATGGTATATAGATCGCACACGCAATTCCTCTAAAGCGTCCCTCGCATCGTTTGTAGCCGCACGTTAAATTATAAATAGAATTCTGTCTCGATTTACAAATCATTTAAAGTGGACTTTACACACAAGCGTGGAATATTTACTCGCTAGGGATGATCAATCGCTCTTGTTCTAATCGAAGTTCCCTACTTACACAATCGGTACAACCAGACTCGTGTAAATAGACGAGAGATATCTATAGGAATTTTCTCACAACGCATCTTCCGTTTCGTGCCAATTCACGCGTCGCGGCGGGATGAAGAATGAAACGGTGAGCTCCACGTGTCAGCGGTCATTACGTAAGTCGGTCGGTCTGGATGTTTGGGGTGAGCGTGCTTTATCGTCACATCGGCGCAAAAAGACCGGCCTCGGTTAGATGGTAGGTAGCGGAATTCTCGACAATTGCGGCATGTCAGCGACCGAAAAAAATTTCTACGCCGTGAGGAAGCACCGGCTCCGGCATTTTGCGAGCATTCCCCGGTGTTTCACTCTGGTTTTCCAACTGGTAGTCGACAGCCGACCGGAGATGGAAATCGCAACACGAGCATTTCGAACGGCTCTCCTCACTCTCGAGAATCTCGTAAAGCTCGGGATTCCTTTCTTCAGTATGTCCGTTGTATGCCCGATATTACATACGCGCGTATTCGTGTGTGCGCGTACTATACGTTAGCCAGTTGGCATTTGTCGTTCCACCCATAGAATCCCATAAAGTACGCGTACGAGGGAGATGGAAAGAGCGGTGTGAGATAAATGTTTTTATGAAATCAAAGTGTCTCGCCGAAAGATATAGAAAAATCAAGTTTTTTTTTTTTTTTAGATTAACGAGACGTTTCAAATTCGAGGAACGAAATTTCGTCGTATGATATGGGAAGTTTTTATGTGACAGGAAACGGTGGTTGAAATTAGAACGACTCACAGTCGATTCACAGTCGCGTTAAAAAAAAAAAAAAAAAAAAAAAATACGGAGAAAATTGATATGTAAAAATGAAGCGCGATATATGACGGGGTGTAAAAAACATTTCTGATTAATATTTGCGTTTTCAAATATTTATTTATATATTCTGGTATAGACTGATATGAATATATAGGTAACTGTTTATTTAAAAAATATAACTCTTATACTCGCTGTATAAGAGAAAAATAACTTTTTATTTTCCATGTCCATTCTGACGCGATTTAGAACTTTGGAGAATGAAATAAAAGCTTGATCAGTATCCAAATCGTAAAAATAAATATCAATTTGATAGAACGATCAGATTGTTCCCCTTCTGCAGCAATTCTATTGTAGTTGATATTTATTCGATTTGACGTGTCTAACAGCTTTACGTAACCAAATGTATTTGCGTACCTTTCGTGCTTTCCCTCACAGAGTCGCATCGTCGAAATCCTTCGAGGAACTCAAAGGCTGATCCTGCTCCTTTGAGATGTTCGTCGTTTGCTCCAGAATGATCATCTCGTATCCCTCGGGATTCTGCACTTTCGTGTTGCTGGGCAGCAGCGTCTCTTGCATGGTATTATTACCGTTACATATTTTGTCATTTTTACAGCCCTCCTTGATCTTCGGAGTACTGCCGTCGGAATTTCTTGAATAACATGGCAGAACCTACAAAAATGACGGTGTAAATTTTTTATTCGAAAGTTTCCAACCAGTATTCGATAATGCGTGATTTCAACATTAAAAATCGGCACGTATTAATTACAGTTTTTCCCAGAAAACTGCCTCCAGATTAACTTATGCCAATTAACGATTTAACAAACATAATACTTAGTAAGTTATATATTCACAAGTAATTAAAATGATAACTCTTAAAAATTAGCTCAATTTCTCGATTGTCAATTTCATTAGTTCAACGAACCAGATGCTGATCTCATCTCGACGAGAAGTGCACGTCCAGTTGAGCGACATTTGACTTCTCATGGTCTCATTTGTCAATATATTTCTCAAGACAAAGCGCATTAAATTAATTTTACGGAAAAAATTATTAATCGATTCCATAATTAGTAGTTGATGAGAGCGTTCTGAGAGTCATTATGGGACAATCGTCAAGCCCATTTTATTATTACGAAAATAAGATCGAAAATGAATGAAAGGGCGTAGTCAAGTCGTAGCAGGATAATTAAAAATTAATTTAATGCAGGTCGAGAAAAATTAATCAAACTTCACGAGCGCGAAGAAAATGCTCGTGACGCGCGAGACTCAACTCTCATTAATATCAAAGCATTTGCCATAAGTGGATTTTTTTACGTCGTAAAATCAAATTCTCTAATACTAAATCTTTTTTAATTATGGAAAGTTTATAAAAAAAATTTTTCACAACAAAAAACGATAGACCGCGTTAAGTGACATGATTTCTCTGCGTTCTTATTCCTACAGCAAGATAAATGTCTAAAGCTAAATAGAAGGAAGAAAAGTTGTGCAAATACAATGAAAATATAGAGAAGAGAAGAATGATGCAAAATCCAACACACATTTCCCGATAGGACATCAGGAAACGAGAAAATATCGCAAAGTATAAAACGTCCTTGTCGCGCGTAAATCTTGTTCTGTTCTATGAATTCACAAGAGTGGCAAGGAAAATCTTTTCGCGAGAAAAAGAACGCGAATCGTTCCTTTACCATAAATTTTCGCGTCGACAAATACGACGTTGGTCGAAACCGCCAATACACCAGCATCTTTCAAACGATTGAATATTCTTATTCGGAATGCAAGTTGCATTCAATAGGTTGCATCTTGCACAACATGTTGATGCATTTATACGGATCACGTCGCGTTTGATTGTCTCATTGGCGTACGTCAATGTCTTAAACACGTTTCATTTCATAAGCACGCGGATGCAGAAGGAAGAAATAGCTCCGCTGCAAATTAATTTCGACACGATAGAATTCTAGTCGTCGGTTTCTCCTTGAGAATATAACGTATCAGATTCACGCTCCTTCGATAGTTTCCGGTAGTTTCGATGCAAATAGTTCTGTCCCAATTACTTAAAGTGCGTCCTTGCGCGGCATCCACCTTAGAAATTGCATGCACCTAGTTCTAAATGCATTGGCTGTATCGATGTAAAGTTATATTAGAAGGAACGTTTGTTACATGCAATAATAATCTTTAATACTATTTTTTTTTTTTTCATAAAAGCGCCCAATTTTTTTGCCTAAAAAATAAAAGTTTGTAAGACTCTAATACAATTGTTAATGCATGAATTTTCTACAAAAATTCGATTTTATATACAAAAAATTAAATTTGATGCAAAATATTACGTTACATTGTTGGACAACTATCGTTCGAGAATAACATCCAGGATAATTCACTTACTTTTATACTTTTCCGACTGAATGGGAAGCAACGAAACGAACAGCTTCACTCAATAGCTTCGGAAAATTCAATTTAGCCTTGGCTCTCGTGACACGAAGCTTATTCAAAGAAACGAAAGGGAGACACGCTCGACGCGCACCTACCTGCTTGAATTCCTTGCGAAAGTTGTCGTTGAGCCAGGCGTAGAGGAACGGATTGTAGCAGGTGCTGCTCATGGCGAGGCAGTGCGACATGAAGAAGCAGAGCCTGTAGTAGGACCAGTCGTTGACGTGCGAGTAGAAATCGTCGACGACGTTGACGATGTTGAGCGGCAACCAGGACACGCCGAATATGGCGACCATCGCGATCAGCATCCGGTTGGTCCGGCGCTTCCTCTCGCGATCCGCCTCCTCGCGCCTGCTAGTCTTGGCGCCGGGTTTCGCGCGCGCCCGATCGTTCAGCTTGATCGACACGCACACGTAGCAGAAGGCGATCACGAAGAACGGCACGACGAATTGGAATATCGAGGTGAGCGAGCTGAAGACCTTGCGAAACGGCTCGCTGGGCCAATTCTCCTCGCAGAAGGTATACGTCTCCTCCAGGTGCATGTAGAGCCCGTACGGCAGGGTAATCAGCAACGCGATCACCCATATACTCACGATGATCGCCAGGCACATCTTGATCTTCATGCGCAGGTGAAACGGATAGATGATCACGAGGAACCGGTCGACGGCTATGCTCGTCAGGGTGAGCGTGCTGATGTACACGCTCACGCCCTGGGCGTAGGGCACCAGGTGGCAGAGGGTCTTGCCGAAGACCCAACCGCCCAGGAAGGTGTACAGGGGGGTGAAGGGCACGGCGAGCACGCAGAGCAGCACGTCGCTGAGGGCGAGATTCGCGATGAAGAGATTCGTGACAGTGTGCATCTGGCGATTCCGCCCGACGACGAAGACCACCAGTACATTGCCGAATATCCCCAGCACGAAGATAACGACGTAGAACGCGCAGAATACTATCTGCACCATCAGATTCGACGTGACATCCTCCGACAGGTAGCTCGAGTTACGCGCCGATTGGTTTTGCATCGCGACCAGCACCACCGACGACGTTATTTGCGCCGTGCCGTTATTATCCATGGCGCATCTTGAAGAGAGCGCGATCGGCCAACTCGCGTTACACGCCTCCTCTTCCTCTTCCTTCTCTATGCTATTCCTTCTTCTCTCCTCTCTCTCTCTTCGTTGCCACTTTCGTCGAATCGATCATGCGTCAGCGTGCCGCTGACGCGGATGGAATTGCTGGCGGTTCATCATCGCTCCCGGAACGATCGCGAAGCGGAAGGACTAGCCGGTAATTTGATTCGGCGAAGCGGGAATTGACCGGGAGAAAATTCCGAACGAGGTGTACGAGGCCGGGGCGCTTGCCGAGATCCGCGAGCCGTGAATTAATTTCTCACGGAGCTCCTCGTCCATTAAATCGTCAACAACACTGCTGTTATCCCGCGCGCGACGGATGCTCAAGCGGGGGGGACGGGGGGGGGAGGAGGTTCTGATAGATAAGCGAGTTATAGCCTCAGATAAGTAGATTAGCCCGAGTTTCGCGCCGCGATACCCTCGCAGGGCCAGCTGTTTGAGGGCATCGATTAAGCTCGACACGTATGCAAGCGTATTGCAACTCTTGCTCCGATTTTCGCTGAGATAATCCCCTAAGCACGATTTAATTTAAGTTTGATTCTCTGACAGTTTAAGGATAGCTTAACCAGGAGGTATATCGTGTCCTTGTCGTTATCTCGCATCGGATTTCCTTCAGATCCGCGCGGATCATCCAGGGTTAACTTTTTTTGAAGTCCACTTCACGTTTCTCTCAACGTTCTGATCAACGAACTGAAATCTATCTTCCCTTTGCGATTTTCTCAGGATAAGATCACCTTCCGAGCAGAATTCACAGGTTCAGTTAAAACAAAAAGTGACGAAGGTCATAAATAAATGATGACGAGTTAAGGGGCAACACCAATTTCCTTGTTCATTAATTTCGCAAAGTGGCAGGTGAGTAAATGTTTGATTAAGGAAAAGGGTTTGATTAAGGAAAAGGATTTTGCACAGATAGAGACGAGCGAGGAGACTATCGAAAAATTCGCCGGAGACGTCGTTGCACGTTTCACTCTTATTCACTCTGAATTACAGCATAATCTTGATTCTGTTTTTTTCAGAGCGACGAATCACGATGTAAAAACATGATCGCTTTCAGAATCGCTTTTATATATATCCTTAAAATATAAAAGCTTACATTCTTCTCGATTATTATTATACCTATGCAAATATTGTGCACTTGTGTAGTCGATATTAATAGAAACGTCGATTTCGTCGGCGTTCGCTTGGCGTTTATGTGCTCGGGGCGAATGGCGATGACAGTCAGGCAATTAATGTTGCATGTTTCGCGACGGAAACTTTCGAACGTGGAGAACAACGGTCGTTCCTCTCCCTGAAACAGGACATGGGGGAGCAATTAGGCGCGCCGATTATGAGGCCTGGCCTGCGTGGGCGAAACCTTTAGTAAACTTTGGCGGTGTTGTCGTCGCCGTCGAGCAAACATTGTGGAAAATTTCGAGCAGTTTCGACAACGTTACGTCGTTTGTTGCGCACGAGTCTCGAAAGTAAGACGCGAGGAAGCTGTTTAAAAAAAAAAAATTTGACAGGATCCGGATGCCTTTTAAGATCGTCTCGCTATTTAGAATCCGAAAACAGGGTCGCGTATATTCCGATAATAATGCCGCTTCTCTTTTTTTTCTTCTCTCTCTCTCTCTCTCTCCCTGTTCTATTTCTTATTTCTTTTTTTATGTTGAGCAATAATTTTGTCAAAAGCGATTTTACTGACGAAACGGCTGCTTTTTAACGGCCGCTCTAGAACGCGCGGATTTATTTACGAGCGGCTGGAGGATCGTAAATTACACAGAGCGGAAATGGTTTTCCACTCGTTGGATGCGCGATACGTATTAATCGCAGATTAATGGAAGCACGATACGAGCTACACTGTTCGTTGATGAGAGCCAATTTTAACTATGATGGATATTAATGAATTCATTATTGTGAATTAGCCGGGAGAGAATATCGAGAAACAATTATGGAAAGCTTAGGAAATGGGAAATGTTTATTGTCCATTTTGAATACGAATTATCGAACGATCAATCTAATCTCTTAGCGAATTCATTCTTGAGTGTTAATTTTTATTATTATATCGCGAATTTTTATTTTTATTTTGATAAATAAAAACAAAGATTAATTAAATATATAAAAAAATTATATATAAGCTTTATATTTTCTCTCAAACATAACTAATGCATAATTTTCCACTTTAATGTGTAAGTATTTTTAGAAATATTTTTTAATAATAAAATACTTTCGAGCTGATTTGTTAATCACTTTTAGAATTTTTTATTAGTATAATTATAATATCGTATAATTTAACAATTAACCGGCAATTGTAATCCTGCTCAATAAACTTTCCAACTACCTAAAATAAAATAACATTCAAACTTAATTACTTAATATTCTTGCAAGTAGTTACTTATAATTGTTTAAAGAAGAAAAAAAGTATCTCCGAAAGAGTTTGGATAAATAAAAAAAAAGTAATCTTCGAAAAAATTTGGACAAATACATTAAAAACGATTCCTTTCTCCTTCCACCGTGTTCATCCTTTCTGTTCTAGAAGATTAAAGGATTAGACTGGCAAAAAAATACAGAAAAAAGAGAAAACAAAAAGAAGAAAATGCAGCGATTCGCCGTGAGAAGTGATCACGTACGCTCGTACACGTGCGAGATCGATTTTGGCCACCTGTTGAAGGGACCGCGGAGTCGAGAGAGAGGAGAATCGCGGGCAATTTCTTCCGTCGCGTAACGTAGGCGGAAGATAATGGCCCTCCAATTTTCGCCGTCGCTGCGGAATATGAAGCTCTTGGGATTTACGGGACGTCGCGACGGGATTTCGCGCGATTACGCGAGAGGATTTAGGCCGGCGTGACTACTTCCACGGGGAGATCCACGAAGCGAAGCAACGAAACGTGCGCGCGAAAGAAAACACGGACACGATAAGCGGACACGCACACGCACACACGCACACTCACGCACGCACGCACGCACGCACGCACGCACGCACGCGCGAATGTTCTCCGCGCGATTGTTCTCTTATATATAGCTTATCGCTTATCGCTTATTTTGTCCACGACGAGTTTTATCACACGGCACACTTTCTCCGCCGCGATTTGCGATCGCCCCGGTGAAATCGAATCGCTTCGATTGCGGCTCTCACGGCGACATGAAGCATCTATTGTACGATCGCGCGGATATGCAATGCACTCGACACTCGCCCGGAGTCAAGATTATGAGATTCCCCCGGACACGGAGCACCTCTCCTCAGGAAGCCCTCGACCCTTTGTCATCGGTTCCGGTTTATCCACCTCTGTTTCCTTTCTCTCGGAAAATACGAGCGCGGAAACTTTCGTGCGTCACGTGCACGAAGAGCCGCATGTATTTCTTTCTATCACGCTCGGCTTCTTAAGCGTGGCGCAGGACGCGCGTGGTCCAGCTACGATGTGACGACTCTCGCGACTCGTCGGGGAAGGCGCCGGGACCGCGATCGCGAGGTGGCGATCTGTCGTACAATGCGCCCAATGCTCTCATCTCGAATACGAGCGCGACGGATCACCGCGGAGCGGTACTCGAGCTACTTCTCCGTCCTCTCGACGACTGAGACGCGAGAAAATCGGCTTCGAGGGAGACCGAGGGCGGCTTCGCGCGCAGGCGTATGATCGCGTATGATCGCGATGCGCCTACTACATGTACACGCAGAGATATATTTACAATCGGGGGGGGTGTTCGACTTGAGTGTCGAATATGCTTAATTTTAAATTACGAGTGTAGGTCGCAAATTCGAAAGTGCGGCGCGTCGATGTGCATTATTTCTCTTCCTCGGAATTGCGCGTGTCATGTGCCATCACCGTCGCGAGAAACGTTTAGGCGTGACACGTTTGAATAATATTTTCTTAAACAATGTCGTTTATTTGTAAATGATAATTGTTTTATGTATTTATCATTTATATGTTTTTTTTTTTCATTTATAAATAACTCCTACTCAGATAAATATTTTTATTTTATTAAAGCTGGATTTTTCAATCCAATAAAGAGAATTGTTCTTGTGCTTCTGACAGTTTGTTAGTAAAGTGAATTTTTATAATTATCTGGAATTTCATGGATCTAAATCAAAACGAAAATATAAAAGAAGAAGAATAAGAAGGACATAAGATTGTAAATTAAAAGAGAATCAATCATTTATATGTATTGTACTGTATTTATATGTATTGTGTATATATATATACAAAATGATTCTAAATAAGTGCGAAAAATTTTAAGAAATAATTCTTTATTGAAAATTAAGGAATATCTTTCATATAAAGAATGAAATTTGGCGAATATTTTTCACTAATAAAAAAGATATTTTTTTATTGCTCGCATATTATAAAGAGATAAAACCAGCAATCCTTATTTAATTTATCTTTTTATCTTAAAATTATTTTACAAAATTATTTTACAAAAAAAATAAAAGAAATATAAAGATTCCCGAAAGAATCAAACTTTCTAACACATATTGTCCAATGATCATATCCCGGCCTATTAAAAAAATACTAATAAAAAATTGAATAGAAGTTGCTAGTTTCATCTTCTTGTAACGTATACGGGATTAAAAAACTTAATAAACACTCTTTTTATTACAATAGAAAATATCCACCAAATTTCATTATTTTAACTTGTCCAAAATTTGAGAAAAAAACATAAAAATTTTTCCTTTTTAAAGGAGTGTAATTCTTTAAGGAGGAATGCAGTATATTTACATGAAAGATCTATCTTAATTTAATAAAACAAAAAATTCGTCTCTTATAATTTTTCTTATAATTTTTCTCTCTTTGGCATTTATTTTGAATCATTTTG